TGACGGTGGGGATGATGTTCTTGGGGTCATAGGCAGCATTCCTTCTCCTCCAAACACGGCGAGTTGAGTTGATGCCAAAGAGCTCGATTTTGGTCTCATCTGACCACAACACTTTCGCCCAGTTCTCCTCTGAATCATTCAGATGTTCATTGGCAAACTTCAGACGGCCCTGTATATGTACTTTCTTGAGCAGGGGGACCTTGCGGGCGCTGCAGGATTTCAGTCCTTCAAGGCGTAGTGTGTTACCAATTGTTTTCTTGGTGACTATGGTCCCAGCTGCCTTGAGATCATTGGCAAGATTCTCCCGTGTAGTTCTGGGCTGATTCCTCACCGTTCTCATGATCATTGCAACTCCACAAGGTGAGATCTTGCATGGAGCCCCAGGCAGAGGGAGATTGACAGTTATTTTGTGTTTCTTCCATTTGCGAATAATCGTACCAACTGTTGTCACCTTCTCACCAAGCTGCTTGGCGATGGTCTTGTAGCCCATTCCAGCCTTGTGTAGGTCTACAATCTTGTCCCTGACATCCTTGGAGAGCTCTTTGGTCTTGGCCATGGTGGAGAGTTTGGAATCTGATTGATTGATTGCCTCTGTGGACAGGTGTCTTTTATACAGGTAACAAGCTGAGATTAGGAGCACTCCCTTTAAGAGTGTGCTCCTAATCTCAGCTCGTTACCTATATAAAAGACACCTGGGAGCCAGAAATCTTTCTGATTGAGAGGGGGTCAAATACTTATTTCCCTCATTAAAATGCAAATCAATTTATAACATTTTTGGCATGCGTTTTTCTGGATTTTTTTGTTGTTATTCTGTCTCTCACTTTTCAAATAAACCTACCATTTAAAATTATAGACTGATCATTTCTTTGTCAGTGGGCAAACGTACAAAATCAGCAGGGGATCAAATACTTTTTTGCCTCACTGTATACACCTGTTCTGAAAGGCCCCAGAGTCTGCAACACCACTAAGCAAGGGGCACCACCAAGCAAGCGGCACCATGAAGACCAAGGAGCTCTCTAAACAGGTCAGGGACAAAGTTGTGTAGAAGTACAGATCAGGGTTGGGTTATAAAAAAATATAAAAACTTTGAACATTAAATCCATTATTAAAAAATTGAAAGAATATGGCACCACAACAAACCTGCCAAGAGAGGGCTGCCCACCAAAACTCACAGACCAGGCAAGAAGGGCATTAATCAGAGAGACAACAAAGAGACCAAAGATAACCCTGAAGGAGCTGCAAAGCTCCACAGCGGAGATTTGAGTATCTGTCCATAGGACCACTTTAAGCCGTACACTCCACAGAGCTGGGCTTTCCGGAAGAGTGGCCAGAAAAAAGCCATTGCTTAAAGAAAAAAATAAGCAAACACGTTTGGTGTTCACCAAAAGGCATCTGGGAGACTCCCCAAACATATGGAAGAAGGTACTCTGGTCAGATGAGACTAAAATTGAGCTTTTTGGCCATCAAGAAAAACGCTATGTCTGGCGCAAACCCAACACCTCTCATCACCCCGAGAACACCATCCCCACAGTGAAGCATGGTGGTGGCAGCATCATGCTGTGGGGATGTTTTTTTATCGGCAGGGACTGGGAAACTGGTCAGAATTGAAGGAATGATGGATGGCACTAAATACAGGGAAATTCTTGAGGGAAACCTGTTTCAGTCTTTCAGAGATTTGAGACTGGGACGGAGGTTCACCTTCCAGCAGGACAATGACCCTAAGCATACTGCTAAAGCAACACTCGAGTGGTTTAAGGGGAAATATTTAAATGACTTGGAATGCATGCATGAGAGCATCAGCTGTTCCGGATGACTATGTGATCACGCTCTCCGTATCCGATGTGAGTAAGACTTTTAAGCAGGTCAACATTCACAAGGCCGCAGGGCCAGACGGATTACCAGGACGTGTATTCCGAGCATGTGCTGACCAACTGGCAAGTGTCTTCACTGAGATTTTCAACATGTCCCTGACTGAGTCTGTAATACCAACATGTTTCAAGCAGACCACCATAGTCCCTGTGCCCAAGGACACTAAGATAACCTGCCTAAATGACTACCGACCCATAGCACTCATGTCTGTGGCCATGAAGTGCTTTGAAAGGCTGGTCATGGCTCACATCAACACCATTATCCCAGAAACCTTAGACCCACTCCAATTTGCATACCGCCCCAACAGATCCACAGATTATGCAATCTCTATTGTACTCCACACTGCCAATTTCCCACCTGGACAAGAGGAACACCTACGTGAGAATGCTATTCATTGACTACAGCTCAGCGTTCAACACCATAGTGCCCTCAAGGGTAGGTAACAACACATCTGCCACGCTGATCCTCAACACGGGGGCCCCTCAGGGGTGCATGCTCAGTCCCATCCTGTACTCCCTGTTCACCCATGACTGCATGGCCAGGCACGACTCCAACGCCATCATTAAGTTTGCCGACGACACAACAGTGGTAGGCCTGATCACCGACAACGATGAGAAACCTATAGGGAGGAGGTCAGAGACCTGGCCGTGTGGTGCCAGGATAACAACCTCTCCCTCAATGTGATCAAGACAAAGGAGATGATTGTGGACTACAGGAAAAAAAAAAGATGACTGAGCATGCCCCCATTCTCATCGACAGGGCTGTAGTGGAACAGGTTGAGAGCTTCAAGTTCCTTGGTGTCCACATCACCAACGAACTATCATGGTCCAAACACACCAAGACAGTCGTGAAGAGGGCACGACAAAACCTATTCCCCCTCAGGAGACTGAAAATATTTGGCATGGGTCCTCAGATCCTCAAAAAGTTCTACAGCTGCACCATCGAGAGCATCCTGACTGGTTGCATCACCGCCTGGTATGGCAACTGCTCGGCCTCCGACCGCAAGGCACTACAGAGGGTAGTGCGTACGGCCCAGTACATCACTGGGACCAAGCTTCCTGCCATCCAGGACCTCTATACCAGGCGGTGTCAGAGGAAGGCCCTAAAAATTGTCAAAGACTTAAGCCACCCTAGTCATACTCTCTGCTACCGCACGGCAAGCGGTTCCGGAGCGTCAAGTCTAGGTCCAAAAGGCTTCTCAACAGCTTCTACCCCCAAGCCATAAGACTCCTGAACAGCTAATCATGGCTACCCAGACTATTTGCACTGCCCCCCCACCTTATCCCCCTCTTTTACGCTGCTGCTACTCTGTTTATTATTTATGCATAGTCACTTTAACTCTACCCACATGTACATATTACCTCAATTACCTCGACTAGCCGGTGCCCCCGCACATTGACTCTGTACCGGTACGCCCCTGTATATAGCCTCCCTACTGTTATTTTATTTTACTGCTGCTCTTTAGTTATTTGCTTTTATTTTATTTATTTATTTAATTAACACTTTTCTTTTCTTTTTTCTTTTTTTTTTTAACTGCATTGTTGGTTAAGGGCTTGTAAGTAAGCATTTCACTGTAATGTCCACAACTGTTGTATTTGGCGCATGTGGCAAATAAAATTTGATTTGATTTGAATGGCCTAGTCAAAGTCCAGACCTGAATCCAATTGAGAATCTGTGGTATGACTTAAAGATTGCTGTATACCAGCGGAACCCATCCAACTTGAAGGAGCTGGAGCAGTTTTGGCTTGAAGAATGGGCAAAAATCCCAGTGGCTAACTGTGCCAAGATTGTAGAGACATTCCCCAAGAGACTTGCAGCTGTAATTGCTGCAAAAGGTGGCTCTACAAAGTATTGACTTTGTGGGGGTGAATAGTTATGCACGCTCAAGTTTTCAGTTTTTTTGTCTTATTTCTTCTCTGTTTCACAAAAAAAAATATTTTGCATCTTCAAAGTGGTAGGCATGTTGTGTAAATCAAATGATACAACCCCCCAAAAAATCCATTTTAATTCCAGGTTGTAAGGCAACAAAATAGGAAAAATGCCATGGGGGTTGAATACTTTCGCAAGCCACTGTAGTAATTGGTAAGTCAGTAAAGTGCAGATATTTACCTGTTGACAGTAGAACGTATTCTTTATATTCTGCTATATGAATAGCCTGCAAATGTTTGATGATCCTCTACAGTGCTTTCTTCTCCTATTTGAACATGTGAGTAGGGAAGAACAGTGAACAATGTCACAATGTTACTGGAAGTCAGCGACATTTGCTTGAGTCAATGATTCATTGGATCGTGAATGATCTAAACATAATGTCTAAACAAATTCCATTAAATCAAACAAACAAAAGCTATCAATTAAAGGCCCATACAAAAGGTAAGAAATATGGTTATTTCGCCCCAGGTATGGAGCAATATAATGTCCTTCTTACATCAAGCTGAACTTGGATCCAGAACTGACAGCCTCATTCTCTGTGTCATGTAAGACAATACCTGAGAAGGCAACATGGTTTGTCCCCTGGAGAGCCCATCCTCCAGAAATCTCGTACACTGACACAATAAAATGAAAGCTCATTGGTTAAGAGACGTAAGAAGATGCAAGCCCATTGGATGGAGGGATGAGCAGTTGAGAGTAATGGGTTAAGAAATGGGTTAAGAAATGGGTTAAGAAATTCATCTCAAAAGCCAACCTCTAGTCTGCCACTGGACCTTTAATTGCAAACAGAGTCTTTAAAACTGTGGACTGCTTCTCTTGCAACACTAAAGAAGCAAATAGCACACAAAAGTAAAGAACGGATGGATCTAACAAATATCTAGAAGACCACATTATCCGTGTATTTGCTGAGGTACTATGCCATGACAAGGAAGTATGTAGGCGTGTTATAGTATAAGGGGTAAGGGAGAGAGACCGAGGAAGAGGGTGAAAAGCAGAAAAACCCACCCCACCCTCAGTCCGCCAGCCCCAAACCCCCACCCCACTGTCCTGCTGATACAGAGAGATGCCATGTTCACGTCCTAGTCGGAGCTCTGAAATGTCCGACTTGCTAACTGGTTGTAGTTATACACATGCCACGTTCAACCAAATTTCCGACTAGGCCCAGAGCCCTTCACTCCATTTTCTTGGTCCATTCCATGTCATCACTCCGAGGCTTGTGACCCGTCATTCTCTCCATCAACCTCTCCATCCTCCGCCAGAAGCTCATCTTGTCCAGAGGGTAGTTCAACTACCCTGAGAGAGAAAGGGATGGAATAAAAAATAAAAAAGAGAGAGTGAGGGGAATGGGAAGAAATACATGAGGCAAGTTAACAACAGAATGACATCAAATGAAACATGCACACATCCCCAACACCACACTGTGTTCCAGGTAGCAGCGGTAGTAGATACATCAGCTCTCAGAGGATCTCTGCTGCCAGGGGAGAGGAAGGAGATCTGGCTTTGGCACCAGAGTAATGCACACACTTACAGTTATAAATATGTACTGTATTTCCACACACCATACATCACACAAGGCCTGCTGAACTCAAATACGTCACATACACCATCCACCCTTATCCATGCTATAGAATCAGACACCCACTCCCAGGAGGGTTGGACATCAAATATATTTTAGTAGTACACATACACAGGAAGGAAGGGAGCGAATGCAGGTGGTCATACATGCACAAAAATGCATGGACAGTGCATTTGGAAAGTATTCAAACCACTTCACTTTCTCCAAATTTTGTTATGTAGCAGCCTTATTCTAAAATGGATTAAAATATATATATATCCTAATCAATCTATGCACAATACCCCATAATGACAAAGCAAAAACAGGTTTTTAGAATTTCTTGCTAATTTTATAAAAATATAAAAAACAGAAAATGCATATTTACATAAGTATTCAGACCCTTTACTCAGTACTTTGTTGTATCACCTTTAGCAGCGATCACAGCCTCGAGTCTTCTTTGGTATGACGCTACAAGCTTGGCACACCTGTATTTGGGGAGTTTCTCCCATTCTTCTCAGCAGATCCTCTCAAGCTCTGTCAGGTTGGATGGGGAGTGTTGCTGCACAGCTATTTTCAGGTCTCTCCAGAGATGTTAGATCGCGTTCAAGTCCGGGCTCTGGCTGGGCCACTCAAGGACATTCAGAGACATGTCCCGAAGCCACTCCTGCATTGTCTTGGCTGTGTGCTTAGGGTCGTTGTCCTATTGGAAGATGAACCTTCGCTCTGGAGGAGGTTTCATCAAAGATCTCTCTGTACTTTGCTCCGTTCATCTTTCCCTCGATCCTGACTAGTCTCCCTGTCCCTGCCATTGAAAAACATCCCCACAGCATGATGCTGCCACCATCATGCTTCACCATAGTGATGGTGTCAGGTTTCCTCCAGACGTAACGCTTGGCATTCAGGCAAAAGAGTTCAATCTTGGTTTCATCAGACCAGAAAATCTTATTTCTCATGGTCTGAGAGTCCTTTAGGTGCCTTCTGGCAAACTCCAAGTGGGCTGTCATGTGCCTTTTACTGAGGAGTGGCTTCCTTCTGGCCACTCTACCATAAAGGCCTGATTGGTAGAGTGCTGCAGAGATGGTTGTCCTTCTGGAAGGTACTCCTATCTCCACAGAGGAACTCTGGAGCTCTGTCAGAGTGACCATCGGGTTCTTGGTCACATCCTTGACCAAGGCCCTTCTCCCCCGATTGCTCAGTTTGGCTTGGCAGCCAGCTCTAGGAAGAGTCTTGGTATTTCCAAACTTCTTCCATTTAAGAATGTTGGAGGCCACTGTGTTCTTGGGGACCTTCGATGCTGTAGAACTGTTTTGGTACCCTTCCCCAGATCTTTGCCTTGACACAATTCGGTCTCGGAGCTCTACGGACAATTCCTTCGATCTCATGGCTTGGTTTTTGCTCTGACCTGCACAGTCAACTGTGGGACCTTATATAGACAGGTGTGTGCCTTTCCAAATCTTATCAAATCAATTGAATTTACCACAGGTGGACTCCAATGAAGTTGTAGAAACATCTCAAGGATAATCAATACAAACAGGATGCACCAGAGCTCAATTTTGAGTCTCATAACAAAGGGTCTGAATACTTATGTAAATAAGGAATTTCTGTTTTTGTTTTTTTATACATTTGCTAAAATGTCTAAAAAACAGTTTTCACTTTGTCATTCTGGGGTATTGTGTGTAGATTGATGGGGATTTTGATTTATTTAATACATTTTAGAATAAGGCTGTAACGTAACAAAATGTGGACAAATTTAAGCGGTCTGAATACTTTCCGAATGCACTGTATGAACTCAAACACACACACACACACACACACACACACACACACACACACACACACACACACACACACACACACACACACACACACACACACACACACACACACACACACACACAAATACTTTAATTGTATCCACAAAGATACTAGACATATTGAAGGAATTGCACATAACCACATCTATAAAGTATTTATAAAGAAATACACATACATTTAGGCATTCGGTATATACAGGTATCTGCCAAAATGAATAAAACACTTGAGCAAATGAGGGATTCAAAGTATATTGAAAGCAGGTGCTTCCACACAGGTGAGGTTCCTGAGTTAATTAAGAAATTAAAACGTCCCATCACGCTTAGGGTAATTATTTTGGCTAACATGACTAGAAGAGATCTAAAAATTTGAAAGAGGGGTCTCAAAGAAGCATAGAGGGTTTAAAGTGTGTGTGTGTGTGTGTGTGTGTGTGTGTCTCAGTCACCATATCTCAACCCAATTGAACACTAATGGGCAGAGATGGGCAGTATTTCTGTTATGTATTTCAATTACTTATAGTATTTTCAACTCAAATCAAATTTTATTGGTCAGATACACATATTTAGCTGATGTTATTGCGGGTGTAGCGAAATGCTTGTGTTCCTAGCTCCAACAGTGCAGTAGTATCTAACAATTCACAACAATACACACAAATCTAAAAGTTAAATAATGGAATTAAGAAATATATAAATATTAGGACGAGCAATGTCGGAATGGCATTGACAAAAATACAGTAGAATATAATACAGTATATACATATGAGATGAGTAAAGCATTGTGTAAACATGATGAAAGTGAGAAGTGTTCCATTATTGAAGTGGCCAGTGATTCCATGTCTATGTATATAGGGCAGCAGCCTCTAAGGTGCAGGGTTGAGTAACTGGGTGGTAGCCAGCTAGTGATGGCTATTTAACAGTCTGATGGCCTTGAGATAGAAGCAGTTTTTCAGTCTCTCGGTCCCAGCTTTGATGCACCTGTACTGACCTCGCCTTCTGGATGATAGCGGGGTGAACAAGCCGTGGCTCGGGTGGTTGATGTCCTTGATGATCTTTTTGGCCTTCCTGTGACATCGGGTGCTGTAGGTGTCCTGGAGGGCAGGCAGTGTGCCCCCGGTGATGCGTTGGGCAGACCGCACCACCCTCTGGAGAGCCCTGCGGTGGCGGGCGGTGCAGTTGCCGTAGCAGGTGATGATTCAGCCCGACAGGATGCTCTCAATTGTGCATCTGTACAAGTTTGTGAGGGTCTTCAGCCTCCTGAGGTTGAAGAGGTGCTATTGCGCCTTCTTTACCACAGTGTCTGTGTTGGTGGACCATTTCAGCTTTTCACCTTCTCCACTGTGGTCCCGTCAATATGGATAGGGGCGTGCTCCCTCTGCTGTTTCCCGAAGTCCACGATCAGCTCCTTCGTTTTGTTGACGTTGAGCGAGAGGTTATTTTCCTGGCACCACTCTGCCAGGGCCCTCACCTCCTCCCTGTAGGCTGTCTCGTCATTGTTGGTAATCAGGCCTACTACTGTTGTGTCGTCTACAAACTTGATGATTGAGTTGGAGGCGTACGTGGCCGAGCAGCCATGGGTGAACTGGGAGTACAGGAGGGGGCTGAGCATGCACCCTTGTGGGGACCCTGTGTTGAGGATCAGTGAAGTGGAAGTGTTGTTTCCCACCTTCACCACCTGGGGGCAGCCCGTCAGGAAGTCCAGGACCCAGTTGCACAGGGTGGGGTTCAGACCCAGGGCCTTGAGCTTGATGATGAGCTTGGAGGGTACTATGGTGTTGAATGCTGAGCTATAGCCAATTAACAGCATTCTTACATAGGTATTCCTCTTGTCCAGATGGATAGGGCAGTGTGCAGTGCGATGGCGATTGCATCATCTGTGGATCTATTGGGGCGGTAAGCAAATTGAGGTGGGTCTAGGGTGTCAGGTAAGGTAGAGGTGATATGATCCTTAACTAGCCTCTCAAAGCACTTAATGATGACAGAAGTGACTGCTATGGGGCAATAGTCATTTAGTTCAGTTACCGTTGCTTTCTTGGGTACAGGATCAATGGTGGACACATAGGGAGAGATTGAATATGTCCGTAAACACTCTAGCAAGCTGGTCTGCACATGCTCTGAGGACGAGGCTAGGGATGCCGTCTGGGTCGGCAGCCTTGCGAGAGTTAACACGCTTAAATGTCTTACTCACGTCGGCCACGGAGAACGAGAGCCCACAGTCCTTGGGAGCGGGCTGCGTCGGTGGCACTGTGTTATCCTCAAAGTGGGCGAAGAAGGTGTTTAGCTGGTATTACCTTTGTTACCCATGATTGTCTGAGCTGTTGAATTGCGACTCCATTTTGTCTCTGTACTGACGTTTTGCCTGTTTGATTGCCTTATGGAGGGAATAACTTCATTGTTTGTATTCAACCATATTCCCAGTCACCTTGCCATGGTTAAATGTGATGGTTCGCGCTTTCAGTTTTGCGCGAATTCTGCCATCTATCCACGGTTTCTGGTTTGGGTAGGTTTTAATAGTCACAGCCGGAACAACATCCCCTATACACTTCCTGATGAACTCAGTCACTGTGTCCGTGTATACCTCAATGTTATTCTCAGAGGCTACCCGTAACATATCCCAGTCCGCGTGATCAAAACAATTTTAAAGCATGGATTCCGATTGGTCAGACCAGCGTTGACTAGACCTTAGCACGGGTACTTCCTGTTTGAGTTTCTGCCTATAGGAAGCAAAATGGAGTCGTGATCTGATTTGCCAAAGGGAGGGCGGGGGAGGGCCTTGTAGGCATCCCAGAAGGGGGAGTAGCAGTTGTTGAGTGTTTTTCCAGAGCGAGTACTACAGTCAATGTGTTGATAGAACTTCGGTAGCGTTTTCCTCAAATTTGCTTTGTTAAAATCCCCAGCTACAATAAATGCGGCCTCAGGATATGTGGTTTCCAGTTTGCATAAAGTCCAGTGCAGTTCCTTGAGGGCCATCGTGGTATCGGCTTGAGGGGAAATATACATGGCTGTGACTATAACCGAAGAGAATTCTCTTGGGAGGTAATACGGTCGGCATTTGATTGTGAGGTATTATTGGTCGGGTGAACAAAAGGACTTGAGTTTCTGTATGTTATCACAATCACACAATGAGTAGTTAATCATGAAACATACACCACCGCCTTTCTTCTTCCCGGAGAGTTCTTTATTCCTGTCTGCGCAATGTACTGAGAACCCAGCTGGCTGTATGCCGGGGAAAGTACATCCAGAGAGCCATGATTCTTTGAAACAGAGTATGTTACAGTCCCTGATGTCTCTCTGGAAGGAGATCCTCACCCTGATCTTGTCTACTTTATTGTCCGGAGACTGAACATTAGCGAGTAATATACTCAGAAGCGGTGGATGGTATGCACTCCTCCTGAGTCAGACTAGAAGTCCACTCCAAATACCTCTTCTCCGCCGGCGGCGTCTTGTATTAGCCTCTGGGTTAAGTTCAATTGCCCTGGGGGGTACGAACAAAGGATCCAATTCAGGAAAGTTATATTCGTGGTCGTAATGCTGGTGAGTTACCGCCGCTCTGATATCCAAAAGTTATTTCCGGCTGTATGTAATAACAAAAAAAACATTCTCGGCTAATAATGTAGGAAATATCAAAAACAAACAAAGAAACAAAATACTGCAAAGTTGTTTAGGAGCTAGAAGCAGAGCTGCCATGTCTGTCAGCGCCATCGGCGCCATTTTGTAATTTGTATTACACTGGGCTGAACTACACTCCAATGTATTTTGTAACAAGATACCAAAAGCCCTATTAAGACACTTTATGTTGGTGTTTCCTTTATTTTGGCAGTTACCTGTACATCCACATGCTGTGAGCGCATACAGTGTGTGCATGCGTACATATAGGTCTGTACACCCACAGAGAAGAGTGTGTTGTGTTGTGGCTGCAGTGTGTCTGCAGTCCCCCTGTCCCTCAGGTGACCCCCTCTCTGCAGGAGGAGAGCAAAGCAGCTCCGGTTGTTTGTTCGATTTCTCCTCTCTGTCCCGCTCCCTCTCTCTCCCCATGCAGGCCTATTTGTTAGCACTGACAGCAGGTTAGCATTAAATATACATGGAGATTTCCAGCCACTGGCACACACAAAGGCAGGCGGCGGGCCCCGGGGACACAGGCAGGGAGGGTGGAGGAGTGGTGACAGAGCTGTGGAGCTCCCCTGTGTCCGCTTCCCTCTCCACTCTACTCATCACAGCCCCCCACTAAGGTTAGGGACAAGGAAGAGGAGGGAGGGTCAGAAAGACAGTGCACACACACACGTGCTCACACAAACGTGCGCACGCACACACACACACACACACATACAGTGGGGGAAAAAAGTATTTAGTCAGCCACCAATTGTGCAAGTTCTCCCACTTAAAAAGATGAGAGAGGCCTGTGATTTTCATCATAGGTACACGTCAACTATGACAGACAAATTTAGATTTTTTTCCCTGAAAATCACATTGTAGGATTTTTAATGAATTTATTTGCAAATTATGGTGGAAAATAAGTATTTAGTCACCTACAAACAAGCAAGATTTCTGGCTCTCACAGACCTGTAACTTCTTCTTTAAGAGGCTCCTCTGTCCTCCACTCGTTACCTGTATTAATGGCACCTGTTTGAACTTGTTATCAGTATAAAAGACACCTGTCCACAACCTCAAACAGTCACACTCCAAACTCCACTATGGCCAAGACCAAAGAGCTGTCAAAGGACACCAGAAACAAAATTTTAGACCTGCACCAGGCTGGGAAGACTGAATCTGCAATAGGTAAGCAGCTTGGTTTGAAGAAATCAACTGTGGGAGCAATTATTAGGAAATGGAAGACATACAAGACCACTGATAATCTCCCTCGATCTGGGGCTCCACGCAAGATCTCACCCCGTGGGGTCAAAATGATCACAAGAACGGTGAGCAAAAATCCCAGAACCACACGGGGGGACCTAGTGAATGACCTGCAGAGAGCTGGGACCAAAGTAACAAAGCCTACCATCAGTAACACACTACGCCGCCAGGGACTCAAATCCTGCAGTGCCAGACGTGTCCCCCTGCTTAAGCCAGTACATGTCCAGGCCCGTCTGAAGTTTGCTAGAGTGCTTTTGGATGATCCAGAAGAGGATTGGGAGAATGTCATATGGTCAGATGAAACCAAAATAGAACTTTTTGGTAAAAACTAAACTCGTCGTGTTTGGAGGACAAAGAATGCTGAGTTGCATCCAAAGAACACCATACCTACTGTGAAGCATGGGGGTGGAAACATCATGCTTTGGGGCTGTTTTTCTGCAAAGGGACCAGGACGACTGATCCGTGTAAAGGAAAGAATGAATGGGGCCATGTATCATGAGATTTTGAGTGAAAACCTCCTTCCATCAGCAAGGGCATTGAAGATGAAACGTGGCTGGGTCTTTCAGCATGACAATGATCCCAAACACACCGCCCGGGCAACGAAGGAGTGGCTTCGTAAGAAGCATTTCAAGGTCCTGGAGTGGCCTAGCCAGTCTCCAGATCTCAACCCCATAGAAAATCTTTGGAGGGAGTTGAAAGTCCGTGTTGCCCAGCGACAGCCCCAAAACATCACTGTTCTAGAGGAGATCTGCATGGAGGAATGGGCCAAAATACCAGCAACAGTGTGTGAAAACCTTGTGAAGACTTACAGAAAACGTTTGACCTGTGTCTGTCACGCCCTGGCTCTGGGGACTCTTATATGTTGAGCCAGGGTGTGGATTTTCTATGTGTGATTTTCTATGTTGTGTTCTAGTTCGTGTTTTCTATGTTGGCCAGGGTGGTTCCCAATCAGAGGCAGCTGTTTCTCGTTGTCTCTGATTGGAAACCATACTTAGGCAGCCTGTTGGCACTAGTTATTTGTGGGATCTTGTTCCGTAAGGTTTGTTTTGGTGTATAACCTAGGACTTCACGTATCGTTTGTTGTTTTGTTGTTGATGTAAAGTACTCATTAAAAGATGTACGGTTATCACGCTGCGCCTTGGTCTGCCTCTAATAACGATCGTGACAGTGTCATTGCCAACAAAAGGTATATAACAAAGTATTGAGAAACTTTTGTTATTGACCAAATACTTATTTTCCACCATAATTTGCAAATAAATTTATTAAAAATCCTACAATGTGATTTTCTGGAGAGAAAAAAGCTCATTTTGTCTGTCATAGTTGACGTGTACCTATGATGAAAATTACAGGCCTCTCTCATCTTTTTAAGTGGGAGAACTTGCACAATTGGTGGCTGACTAAATACTTTTTTCCCCCACTGTAAACATACAAATACGCCCACCCCCCTCTGCACACACACGCACATCTGGTGTCCATAGGGGAACAGGGTGACGCATAAGCAACCTCTCTCCAGTGCACCCTCTCAGACACACACTGAATACTCATTGTGGATCTCTTACTGGGGCCTAATGCCAGCACACACATGCATAGACAAATAGATTGCTTTTCCAGGTTATTTATACTGTATCTACCACCCACATATGGCAGCCATCTAGGATGGACCTTTCAATGGAAGATACTATTTGAATTCTTCTTGATGTGATTTCTATGTTTCTATAATCATGGCCGTTAGCTCAGCCTTGTTTGATACATTGTCATATGAACCTGTATGTTTTTTTCTAGTGGTAGGTCTCAGGGGGATAGCTTCTATGATCATAAAATGGTGCATGATCTTGCAGTACACTTGGTTGGTGGAGCCCTCCAATATACCTTTATACAGTTTAACACTGCACTGCTGTAGATGTCACGTATATGTGATCAGTGCCAATACCTCTGCAAAGATGCAGTGGCTTACTGTTAGTAGCCATGGTGATGCAGTGGTTACAGTAGGTGGTATGTCAGTAATGTGTTACAGCAAGAAATCTGTAAAATACTGTACAGTACCTGTGGTGATGCAGTAGTAGGCAGTATGTCAGTACAGTAAAGTTCAGAACATTACAGTACATTGCAGTACTGTTTTATCTGTGGCTATGCAATAGTAATACTTCAAGTTGTATTGTAACAGGCACAAGTATAGCGAAATGCTTAATTTGCAAGCTCTACCCACCAGTGCAGTAATGAATATCAAAAATATTATAACTAATAAAAAAAGTATAAATATATAATATACATTTCATGCAAACATTTTTTAAATATAAACGCCAAATGAATCACAAAATAAGGTCGGTCAGAGTTGGGTCAGAGAATGTAAAACAGCAGCCATATAGTACACCGCCATCTTGAGATCTATTAGTTCAGTACTGTACAGTCATGGTCAAAAGTTTTGAGAATGACACAATTATTGGTCTTCACAAAATTTGCTGCTTCAGTGTTTTTAGATATTTTTGTCAGATGTTACTATGGTATACTGAAGTATAATTACAAGCATTCCATAAGTGTCAAAGGCTTTTATTGACAATTACATTAAGTTTATGCAAAGAGTCAATATTTGCAGTGTTGACCCTTCTTTTTCAAGACCTCTGCAATCCGCCCTGGCATGCTGTCAATTAACTTCTGGGCCACATCCTGACTGATGGCAGCCCATTCTTGCATAATCAATGCTTGGAGTTTGTCAGAATTTGTGAGGTTTTGTTTGTCCACCCGCCTCTTGAGGATTGACCACAAATTCTCAATGGGATTAACGTCTGGGGAGTTTCCTGGCCATGGACCCAAAATGTCGATGTTTTGTTCCCCGAGCCACTTAGTTATCACTTTTGCCTTATGGCAAGGTGCTCCATCATGCTGGAAAAGGCATTGTTCGTCACCAAACTGTTCTTGGATAGTTGGCAGAAGTTGCTCTCGGAGGATGTGTTGGTACCATTCTTTATTCATGGCTGTGTTCTTAGGCAAAATTGTGAGTGAGCCCACTCCCTTGGCTGAGAAGCAACCCCACACATGAATGGTCTCAGGATGCTTTACTGTTGGCATGACACAGGACTGATGGTAGCGCTCACCTTGTCTTCTCCGGACAAGCTTTTTTCCGGATGCCCCAAACAATCGGAAAGGGGATTCATCAGAGAAAATGACTTTACCCCAGTCCTCAGCAGTCCAATCCCTGTACCTTTTGCAGAATATCAGTCCGTCCCTGATGTTTTCCCTGGAGAGAAGTGGCTTCCTCGATGCCCTTCTTGACACCAGGCCATCCTCCAAAAGTCTTTGCCTCACTGTATGTGCAGATGCACTCACACCTGCCTGCTGCCATTCCTGAGCAAGCTCTGCACTGGTGGTGCCCCGATCCCGCAGCTGAATCAACTTTAGGAGATGGTCCTGGCGCTTGCTGGACTTTCTTGGGCGCCCTGAAGCCTTCTTTACAACAATTGAACCTCTCTCCTTGAAGTTCTTGATGATCCGATAAATGGTTGATTTAGGTGCAATCTTACTAGCAGCAATATCCTTGCCTGTGAAGCCCTTTTTGTGCAAAGCAATGATGAAGGCACGCGTTTCCTTGCAGGTAACCATGGTTAACAGAGGAAGAACAATGATTTCAAGCACCACCCTCCTTTTAAAGCTTCCAGTCTGTTATTCTAACTCAATCAGCATGACAGAGTGATCTCCAGCCTTGTCCTCGTCAACACTCTCACCTGTGTTAACGAGAGAATCACTGACATGATGTCAGCTGGTCCTTTTCTGGCATGGCTGAAATGCAGTGGAAATGTTTTTGGGGGATTAAGTTCATTTTCATGGCAAAGAGGGACTTTGCAATTAATTGCAATTCATCTGATCACTCTTCATAACATTCTGGAGTATATGCAAATTGCCATCAGAAAAACTGAGGCAGCAGACTTTGTGAAAATTAATATTTGTGTAATTCTCAAAACTTTTGACCACAACTGTATAGTACCTCATAGGTAATATACAGAATAGTGTATAGTACCTGAAGTGATAACAGTAAGCGGTATACATCAGTACAGTAGCGTATAGTACCTGTGGTGATGCAGTAGTAGGTCTCGTGAGGGGACACATGGTGGATGCGGTGGTGTTTCTGGGGTAACACCAGGTGACAGTCCTGCAGCAGCATCACCCAGTGGGGAAGACCAAAATACAGTTGAGACCACTTATGAATGTGATTGGTCAATGTGACGAAGACTGCCAGCACAAACACAAAGCACTCCCAAGGGTAGGTCTCTGCTAGGGCATCTGAGAGAAAGAGAGAGCGAGCGAGAGGAAGAGAGGGAGAGAGGGAGAGAAAGAGAAGGGGGAGAGAGAGAGATGAAGAGAGAGCGCAAGGGAGAGAGCGAGCGAGAGAGAGAGAGAGATGAAGAGAGAGCGCAAGGGAGAGAGCGAGCGAGAGAGAGAGAGAGAGAGAGATGAAGAGAGAGCGCAAGGGAGAGAGCGAGCGAGCGAGAGAGAGAGAGAGAGAGAGAGAGAGCGAGAGAGAGAGAGAGGGGGAAGAGAGGCAGTTGTTGTTGAGGCAGATAAATGTGACATTCATTGTAAATGACAAGGTGGTTTCAATGTTTTCCAGTATATGTCTGAAGCATCTTCACATGTAAGTGAGTAAAAAACAAACTTTACCCTATTTAAGGTATTCACTTGCAAGTATGAAACAGTACAGCATTATCAGGATACAGTATTTTGGAGAACCAGTGTTGGTGAGATGAGGCATTGACTAGAAAGAAAGCTGTGGTGGAGTCTGTTTTCTGTTTGGCTCCACTCTCACGCTAGTGTCACTTACGTGTTCCTCCATGTCCCCCTCTCCACTCTCACCCTGAACCCCTGACACTCAGCGAGCAGCAGACATGACAGGTGTGGATGTCACCCTGTCACTCCGCCAGGCTTCCCTGCCCTTTGCTCTCCGCCCTGCCTCCTCTTACTGTGACACGGCTCATGACAAGGTCAGTGATCTCTGGTTTGCTCCGAGCCACCATGAAGCCCTGACATCATGTCTCTCGTAAAATACATCACCCTGTCATGGCCTGAGAGTGCCCGTGTCTGTCTGTCTACAGCTCCTCTCCGTGTTGTCACACACACATCCTTTATGGATGAGACCTTGTTCAGGTTGTAATGCACGGGTGTATATGTGTGTGTGTGTGTGTGTGTGTGTGTGTGTGTGTGTGTGTCAATCCCCTCTCTCTCACCTGGCTGGTACGTCAGGAACTTGTAGGCCATATGTGCCAGAGGCAGTATTGTGAGCATGCAGTTGTCCCCATTGGTCTCTATGAAGTCGTGTAGCGTGATGGCTGTGGGGTCAATGTGGTGTTCCCGGAATGGAGAAAAAGAAAACAAGATAGAAGAGGAGGGGAGGTAGTTAGAGGAGGAATATCATTATGATAATTTAATTATAATTTCTCTCCACACAAAACTCTTGATCACCTTTACTCCACACACAGAAACGCATACAAGGCCCTCCCTTGCCCTCCCTTTGGCAAATCAGACCATAACTATATTCTCCTGATTCATGCTTACAAACAAAAACTCAAACAGGAAGTACCAGTGACGCACTCAATACGGAAGTGGTCCGACGAAGCGGATACTAAACTACAGGACTGTTTCACTAGCACAGACTGGAATATGTTCCGGGATTGATCCAATAACATTGAGGAGTTTACCACATCAGTCACCGGCTTCATTAATAAGTGCATTGACGAAGTCGTTCCCACAGTGACTGTACGTACCCCAACCAGAAGCCATGGATTACAGGCAACATCCACACTGAGCTAAAGTGTAGAGCTGCCACTTTCAAGGATCGGACATTAATCCGGACGCTTATAAAAAATCCCGCTACGACCTCTGACGTGCCATCAAATAAGGAAAGCGTCAATACAGGACTAAGATCGAATCCTACTACGCCGGCTCTGATGCTTGATGGATGTGGCAGAGCTTGCAAACTTTCACAGATTACAAAGGGAAGCCCAGCCGGAAGCCTACCAGATGAGCTAAATGCCTTCTATGCTCGCTTCAAGGAAAGCAACACTGAACCATGCATGAGAGCACCAGCTGTTCCGGTGTGAGTAAGACCTTTAAACAGGTTAACATTCATAAGGCCGCGGGCCAGAAGGAATACCAGGACGCGTGCCAAGGAATACCAGGCACTGACCAGCTGGCAAGTGTCTTCACTGACATTTTCTCTGACCCGGTCTGTATCTCAGGACCCTGGGACTGAACACCTACTTCTGCAACTGGATCTTGGAATTCCTGATGAACCGCCCCTGGGCGTTAAAGGTATGCAACAACACATCCGCTACGCAGACCATGTTTACCCACGACTGGGTGGCTGTGCACGACTCCAACACCATTAGCAACTTTGCTGACGACACGATGGTGGTATGACTGATCACCCATGATGATGAGGCAGCCTATAGGTAGGAGGTCAGAGACATGGCAGTGTGGTGCCAGGACAACAACCTCTCCCTCATTGTCAGCAAAACAAAAGAGCTGACTGTGGACTACAGGGAACAGAGGGGCAAGCACACCCCCATCCACATCGATGAGGCTGTAGTGGAGCGAGTCGAGAGCTTCAAGTTCCTCTGTGTCCACATCAATAAGGAATTAACATGGTCCACACACACCCACACAGTTGTGAAGAGGACACGACAACGCGTCTTCCCCCTCAAGAGGCTGAAAAGATTTGGCATGGGCACTCAGATCCTCCTAAACTTATACAGCTGCACCATTGAGAGCATCTTGACTGGCTGAATCACCGTTTGGTACAGCAACTGCAAGGCACCCGATCGCAAGGCGCTATAGAGGGTGGTGAGTACGGCCCAGTACATCACTGGGAACGAGCTCCCTGCCATCCAAGACCTCTATACCAGGCGGTGTCAGAGGAAGGTCCAAAGAATTTTCAGAGACTCCAGCCACCCAAGCCATAGACTGTTCTCTCTGCTACTAGTCTGGAACCAACAGGACCCTGAACAGCTTCTACCCCCAAGCCATAAGTCTATTAAATAAGACTGCTACATTTCTTGCACTGACTCTATGCACATACACTGGACTTTACCCAAACACATACTTACACTGACATCCCAACACACACACACACACACACACACACACACACACACACACACTACATACGCCCACACACACATAGCATGCACACACATGCATACTGACGTCACACACATTCACACTCAACACATACGCTGCTGCTACTGTCTATTATCTTTCCTGTTGCCTAGTCACTTTACCCCTACCTGTATGTACATAGCTACCTCAATTACCTCGTACCCCTGCATATCGACTCGGTACTGGTACTCCCTGTATATAGCCATGTTATTTTTACTCGTTATTGTTATTCACTAATCACTGTGTATTTATTCCTTGTGTCACTATTTCTATTTTTATAACATTTTGTATCTTATCTTTACTCTGCATTGTTGGAAAAGGACCCATAAGTAAGCATTTCACTGTTAGTCTACACCTGTTGTTTACGAAACATGTGACAAATAAAATTGATTTAATTAACTTACAACTGAATATTCAGTGCAATCATGTCAGACATAACATGAGAGGGGATATCCATTTCAATCACAGACATTAGATGTCTATCTAGCCTGTACCTCTTCATTATCTAAAGGGTAATAAAATACCAGAGATTTCCCAAAACAATCAATGGTCATCAGGTGTGGTCATTGGTTCAACTCCATCTCGAAGGGCCATGACAAATATTGTAACTTGTGCTAGCTTGGTGGAGGTATCTCTCACAGTGCTGTGTCCATTAAAACACAGGTAAGAGATGACAGAGGAAGGATGTAAAAGGATGGATGAAAAAAGGATTGGAAGCTGAATTATGTAAGTCAGTCAGGGGGTGTGCTATGGTTGGGAATGCAATTTTCTACATAGATCCTCAACCCTGCAGCGTGACACGCATGAGAACCTGTGTTCCACCTCCAAAGGGTTAGAGGTTGGAGTTGGTCTCACAGATTAACTCATGATCCACGGCCCTGTAGAGGAGCGTACACGAAAGCCGGAGGAGAAAGCTCTCCATCACACTATACATTAAAGAACAGAGAGATAACCTGCTATAAAACGGCACAGCCCCATGGCTCTGATCCAGCATCATAATAAACCTTGGAACAGCGGTGCCCGTCATTCACAACCCGCCCGCGCTGAGACAGACACCTGCCTGTGACAGCGCGCGTGTCACAAATGAAAGGGAATGTGGGAGAGAATCGCATAATCACAAAGAGAAAATACACAAGGAAGGTCATTTTATTTCCCACATAAAAAGAGGAATCGTTTTGCGCCATATTACCATAGCGTGTCAATGACGGTAAAAAGTAATTATCCTGTGTTTGTGGGCAGAACTCAATCACATGTATATCTGAGGACGCATGGAGATGCTCTGCGGGAGCAAGGGAAACTATCTGTTTATATTTAGACAATTATCTTCCTTTACGTTCTCCCGGTCTGTCAGCGAGATTAAAGGAGCGCTAAGCCCCAGACGGCACACAGAGCGGATGTGTGGACTCCTCTGCACAATGCAGCCACACCAACACTAATCCCACATCGTTTAACGGCCCGCCTCGCCCGCCTTTCACTAATCAAGACTCACATCTACCATCGTCCTGGCAACCCCGCCATCGAAAGGACATTTCCCCTCCCCTCACCTACGGACTGAACTGGTTTAAGACGTTCAATTCGAGTTTTTTTCTCCTCTAATTACTGTCAATAATGATTCTCCCTCAAGTGAAGTTCTTCTGTTTGAACCTCGGGTACAAAATGGTGTATCCACCCGCTAAGTGTTCCCTTTAATCTGCTGGTTAAGGGTCTTAAAACACTCCTTTCTAGATGTCTGTAAATTCCCCCACTCTTTTTGAAGCCCAATCGTCCCCAGGTGGCAAATCCTAATGATCCCAGAAAGCAATAGTATCGACAGCAAGCAGCAGCCATGTTGCAGAGTCAGAGCAGTAACCGCTTCACAGCGGGGCGGCAGGCTGAGCAGGGGCTTAGCACGGCTGGGCCGCTCTGGAGCTCTGACCAGACAGGCTGCTGATGACAATTAGCCCCATCATCAGCAGAAATACACACAGACCCAGCGATTCATCACCTCAAAGATCATCACATCCACCAGCTGCACTTTTAATTGGACAGGATGAGAGTGACCTTTTCTCTAATTGGACGAGGGGAGCATGACCAAGTTCTGCTTATGCATAAATACGGAGCCCAGGTGCTGTAACCCTGGTCCAAGAGGGGTGGGAAAAGTGTGGGGGGTGGGCTGGGGTGGCTGTGGTGTTGGCTGGGGGGTTCCAGTCAGGGAGTCGTATGTCCTGGGGGAGATAATTACATTTTGCTTGGAGCAGCCATGGGAGGATTAACCACTATAGACCAATAAAGCCCAGTGCTACTGTATGGTAATAACCCTGGATGTCCGTGCCCTTCACATGACTGGGATGTAGGGGGGACAGGACTGGAGGAGACTGGCTGGATGTGGCCTGCTCAGCACAGGAGCAGGACGGTGGGTGTGGGTGTACTGGGTGGTGGATTGCAAAAGCACAGAGTAGCGCTGGCACGGTTATTGTATAATTGTGTAACGGACGATTACGGATGAAGACCGTCACGAAATAAAATAACCGCCATAACCGTTTTTATTTATTTATATTTTTTAAAAATCTACTTCATATTCAAGTTGACAAACTTTACTCAAAAGCAGCAAGGTAAAAGTAAACCTGGTTTACATCTAACAGCCAATATGAGACGAGAGGACGCAAAACTAATTTTGTGTTTTGGAACGAACAGCTGACTGACGACTGGACGGCTGGGCATTCAAAAAAGATGACACATCATGTGCGGTTGAGTCCGTTTCCGCAGTAACATGGACTCTTTATAACGTGATTAAACGTTGTTGCTCCTTGACTCCTACAGAGTCAAGGCGTTGTAGCAAACAAGAAAAGTATGCTATTAGAATGATTATAACGGTGACTGCGGTCATTTGGCAGACAATAAACCGTCATCCAAACTTCCTTGACCGTCACAGTCCTAAGCACAGGTATACAGACAGTGTGGGTGTGACTTCACTGATATAACTCATTGGGAAATGGGATGATATTATGTTTAGCCTCTGTTTTGCCTAACAATCCCTCATATGACTGATATGTAGTCATTTGGAATACTTCTCAAGAGTCAAAGGATGAGTCTGAGGTCTGGGAATGACCTTGAACTCTGAACCCTGTCCCTTACCTTCCCAAAGACTGGGATGTCCACAGAGCCCCAGGTATCTGCTCCCCAGTGCACCATACCAGAGGCAAAGTCCGCCATCACTATCCCCATTACTGAAGTGGGGAGCAGAAAAGAGTGGAGGAAAGAGAAGACAAATCTTTTACCAATATATCGGACAATAGTTTTTGTAACTTCAGGCTATTTCAAGGTCATTTCAAACATTTAACTGAAAATGTTTGAGAATAACTTACGGACGGCGAATATGATTTTGTAGATGTGCACCATGGTTAAGTTGAGGAGGAGGAAGGAGAGGTTGATGATGAAGAGAGAGACGCACAGAACCACACTGATCCACTCCTGCAGTCGCTTACCTGAGGAAAACAGCAAATCACACAATATGAGTCACACAATTACAAAGACACTGGTAAATTAATAAAGCTACCGTACATTTGCACTTTCCTCTGTACTGTACAATAGTGCTGAGGACTACATTCTGAAGAGAGTGTAGAGTAACCTGTCCTGTGATCTACTGTGTTAATGAGCAGAGTGAGGTCAGCCCTGGTACCAGGAGAACGTCCACTCTCAGCTCTGTAGGGTCATTGGGTCAAACGCTGGGGGCGCCGCCACATCTGTGGGTGTCCGTCACAGTGTGTGTGCGTCCCATCAACCACAATGTTAAGGGGTAATCGGTTCGATGAAGACAAGTGTATGCCGAGGTTTGGGTTGTGACCCCTCATGTGCGGAGCACCGCTGACACAGCTCTAAACTCACAGGTCAGCTGTGACAGCGGAAAGAGATACGGTGGGTCGGACATAGGCGGGTGGAAGGACCACCATGTCGCCACTCTGCCCCAGCGGGCACGGAGACGATTAGAGGGCTAGTGAATCATTCAGCAGCCTACGGAGCAGTGCGGAGCTGCTTAAGTTAGAGGCAGCCACTACCGTACTGTACTGTACCTCATCACCACATCCACTGAGACTAGCCTGATCCCCTCTGCTTCCCCCTCTCATTCTCACTCTACCTCTCAGTTCTGATTTCCCTTCTTTTCTTCTTTTAACCTTGTCTCTCTGTCCATATCTCTTTCTCTCCTCCCTATTCAGCTCGTCTTGCTTTTTTCTTTCTATCTCCCTTTCTGCAGATGCAAGGCATCATGTGCCACAGTGAAGTCAAGGCATCTGAAAGTTTAATGACATTAGATTTTTCCAATGGAGTAGATTGGAGTGCCAGGAGGTTATGGGGTATTGATGAACGTTTTAATAGGGTCTCTCAGGCCCAACTAAACCAAGTTAACCAACCAGTCCAATACTCATGGGAATACGAGTTTCACACCTTCCTCTCATAAGACATAGAACTGGTCCTCAATCATCACAGGAGAGTTCACACACAACCCTTCACCTGTGTATTGCCGCCCTCATCTCTCACACGGCACCTGTTTACACTGTACTAGCCTAGCCATGTAGTGTTGATGGAGGAGACTGGAGTGCTCTTAGCTGTTATGAGCTGCTCTAAATGAAACGGATGAATCAAGTGAGAAGCATCCAGGTGTGCACGCTATGTATGGCGGCGAGGCCAGGTGTGCTGTGGCCAGCTGTGAAGGACAGGTGTGGGGCAGCAGAGGCTCCTGCAGAGGAATGACCTCAGAGACTGGCAGGCTTCTACCACTTAGCGACTGTCTGACTTCACTTCTTACTAGCCACTGATACAAACACACTCTGGGATGCTAACGAAATGTGTGCAAGATCCTTTCAAAGGACTGTAATTTTTGCAGAATGTGATCCAAAATGTAAGAGATGCTACCTTTTATCAAGGGGGGTGTAACCTAATAATACAGAACATAAATCACTGAATACTCTTTGATTGCAGTGGCCCATGAAAACTCTATGTAACAGAAACTTTGCCTTAGACTATGTCTAGATATACCATTTACAGCAAGGTTAAGTATTACACCATAGTTTTGTTGTCTCCACACTAAATATGACACCATTTCTACCACTCTGTCAAAACACAGGAGAGACAGACACCAGAGATTCACTACACAAAAATTCACTCTCAAGCATACTTTCATACTTACACAAGCAATCACACACTCCCCAACTACACACACATACACACACACACACACACTCGGGGTTGCGCAGTGGGGCCGCTGTCAGGTGATCTGCGTCAGTCCTTGGATCCTCCTGCTCCCTGGTGAGAGGAGAAACTAGGCCAGGCCTCGACAGAGCAACCGTGCGCAGCCAGAAACACAGTCCCCCTGTCCATAGGACCAGAGTGGTGTGCTCATTAATACAGTCCTGACAACAACACGCTCCCTGGCAACCCCTCTACCATCGCTCACACCAGCAGCCCCCGACTCTGCACGCTGGCATGGAATTAACCTGGGAGGGGCGGAAGATGAGGAAAGGGGGGTGCTAATAGGCTGAAATTAATCAACGACGCCTGATTCGGCACAGAGGGACAGCGCCAGCACCAAACAACACCCTGTGAATGCTAATGGCCTTCTCCTCTCTCTCTCCCTCGCTCAATCTCACCTGTTTACCTCCCACTCCACTTTACAGTGCAGCAGCAGAATGGGAACCATCTCTCCTGCCATAGTGACGCATCACACAGACACAGGAAGTGATTTCAAACCTCTCAATTCAAGGAATCTTGCACTATGAGTAGCTCGTGACATGGATCTCTGTGCAAGGATGTTTTTGGAAAATACATGAACCAGGAACCCAGGTTTTATATTATTCCTCCTGATACGTGGGTCTAATTGAGTGTGGTTGGGTTCTGCTTCTTCCAGGAAAGGCCCTCCGTGTACATGGCCTAGTCTACTGTACAGATGCCTTCAGTAAATCTGCAAGCATGTACCATGCCGTTGTGTGAATATTGAGCAGAGCCCGAGTTACTTATCAAAGTAGTCAATATATTGCTTGTCCTCTGGAAGTCATAGTCCTGTGTAAATAGATTCATGATTTGCATGCTTTCTGTACAGCACTTCGAAGCCTGCCCAGTATTACGCCTCTATCTAGTCTGGACAAAGGGATATTTTCTTCCCTCACTCCTGACTGTGTTGTCCTAAACGCCGAGGCCTTGTGTTCTCAGTACAGAGTCTCTTTGAAAGACAGCCTCTCACCTCCTCCAGAGTCAAAGACAAAACTAACTCACACACCCAGAATGGCTGCCTTTCACAGCACAAAGACCGAGTCAGTGGTGCCAACATACCATGACAGCATCATTCTCTCTCTCTCCCACACACACGCACACACATGCACACACACAAACACACACAAACACACACACGCAAGTTCGCATACACACATTCACAATACAATTACAAACATTTATTCATAGTAATTACTAAAACATTACACATACAACAGTGTAGATAGATGCATAATTATCTTTATGAATAGGCACCTCTCTGCTATTCTTTCTTGCTCTCTGTCTCTCTGTCCCCTGGCCAGTTCTCTGTAGGCCTATCTTCAGATGGGACTTTGGGAGGGGTGGAGGGGGGGAGTAGTAAAAGTGGGTCACATGCTTAGAGTGGGAGAGACTGAGAGAGCCAGAGAACGAGAAAAAGAGTGAGGTAGAATTCCCCTGATCAGGACGAACAGATCAGTCACAGGCCTCATTCCTTTCATCTGTTCTCAGTGGACATCTCATCCTGGGACACACAACACACACACACACACACACCACATACACACACTAAGCACCAAACAGAGAATCCAATCCTGCCAGACAAACTTAATACATACATTACCCCATGGACAGAACTGCAACAAAGAAATGAATGTGACAAATGAGACAGATTCAATGACTGCACACCAACACAATGGAATGAAAACCAATGAATGAAACAAACACCAATGAACGAACATACACGTGCACACGCACATACACATACACACGGCCCAAGTGAGTGGTATCTAGGCCTGGCTCCATGCTCCATCCTCTTTCCCCCATGGACATGGAGAGAAAGGAGGATGAACAGATCCCGTGGTGTGTGGGGGATGTCGACAGACCCAGATGAGGGCCGCAGATGAGTAGGGTGCCCGAAAGATACAATACAGTGTAACACACACACACACATACAGTACACATGCACAAACACACACACACAGTACACACACACACACACACACAGGACACACACACACACACACACACAGGACACACACACACACAGTACACACGCACACACACAGTACAGACACACACACAGGACACACACACACACACACACAGGACACACACACACACACAGTACACACGCACACACACAGTACAGACACACACACGCACACACACAGTACAGACACACACACAGCACACACACAATCCACACACGGATGCATGAACACATATAAATATTGCTAAATGGAAAGTGTGCTCTATACTAATTTCTGAACGTTTGGCTCTGGATGAGAGGAATTTGAAAATAATTCTCTATAATTCTCTATTGCTCCTCACTTGAATAATGAGCTCTATAAAGAAGGTATTTAAGACTGCATTTACATTAACTCAATTCTATGAGTTATCTGAGTAGACGGAGCTTTAACAATTCTAACATTCCCAACCCATTTCCAAGTTCAGCTGCATACTGATTGAGTTACTCCTGGGGAGGGAAATATTCTATTTAATAACAGTAATTAGACCAGTTTCCCACTGCCTCCATCCTCACTATAGCAAAGTCACCAGACGATACAGAGGACCGAAGGAGAGTTCTATCAAATATTAATAACAGGTTTTGCCCTAATGTATTTGGCAGAACCTGTGTGTATGTATGTGTGTGTGTTTGCGACTGTGCATTCAGCCTAATGTATTTAGCTGCCCTGGTGGGTGTATAATTGAGGAGCTCAGCAGGGGCAATGGCAGGTAGCCTATTTCTTATCGTCCTTTCTCTCTCTCTCTCTCTCTCTCTCTCTCTCTCTCTCTCTCTCTCTCTCTCTCTCTCTCTCTTCTCCTCTCTCTCTCTCCTCTCTCTCTCTCTCTCTTTATATATATATATATATATATATATATATATATATATATATATGTATATATTCCTGTCTCTCGGCCTCTCTCTATCTCTCCCACCACAACTCCACTTGGCTTTTACAGCAGCCAGCGCACATGCAGGAAGGCGTGTGCAGTCAGGTTTACAGTAGCACACAGCCTCTAATAAATGGCCTGCTCTTGTTTAATTCAAGTCTTCTGTATTCTTCCGTCTGCCTGAAACCGTTGGTCCACAGGCCCGGGCTGGCCCAGGTCGACCCGGGTCAGACCCAGAGTTCGGGTGAGTCACGGCCAGCACACTGAAATCCGCTTTCATGACCCTGGGGTCAGGAGTCCAGAGCCCTTCGACCCCTGGGGTGGGGTCAGCCTGGCAGAGTGGGTCTGATGAGGGGCTTCAATAATTCAGCAGCTCTGCCAGAGTACAGCAGGTTCACCTCTCTATTGGAGGTGATGGAGGTGGAGGGAGGAACTCTGGGTGTGGATGAGCTCTGCTCACAGACAGGGGGCAGTACTAGGCTAGTGGGCTATGCCTCATTCAGTCTGCGGTTCCACATGGCTGGGCTGGGTAAGGTTCTGTGTTGCTGGACTGAACTGGGCTGTGGTAGGACAGTGTTAAATTATGTGTTGCTATGGAGGTGTGCTAGGCCATTGTAAGGTTCTGTGTCACTGGGCTGGGCTAGATCAGTAGAAAATTATGTGTTTCTGGGCTGGGCTGGTGTTTGAGTGTAAGGTTCTGTAATGCTGGCTGGGCTGGGTTGGGCTAGTGTAAGGTTCTGTGTTCCTGGGTTGGGTTGGGCTAGTGTAAGGTTCTGTGTTCCTGGGCTGGGTTGGGCTAGTGTAAGGTTCTGTGTGTCAGGTTGGCAGGGTGCTAGTTTCAGTCAGACTGACGTGGGCAGGCTGTGTCAGGTGTAATGCTGTAGAGCAGCCTGTGAGTTCTGACTCCTGAGCTGCAACACAAACCCATGGCCCTGTGCAAGCCTGTGGAGAGGCACTGGATAACACACTCTCTGTCCTCACCCTCCACAGCTCTATACTACTCTACCTCTCTTTTTCTCAGTCTCACAGCTGTCTATACATTTTAAGTGAGAGTATTTTTTTATAAAAGTTCATAATAAGTGTGCACGTGCTTCTCTAATAGAGCTCTTCGCTACTGTAGCAAGAGCTCTTGTATTTTATCTTTATGAAATCCAAGTCACCTCATGTCACCTTCATAAATCCTTGATGAGAGACATTTTTGATGTTGTTTTGGTAACAAAGTCAAGACCAGACTTGTTATGAAAATGGTCTGTTGACCATAAGACTACTTTTCTTCACTGGCTCGGGCCAGATCAACTGCATGATGACAAGCTGTCCTACAGGACAGTAAGCTGATATGAGATTTACTCACCTTTACAGAAGGTCAGTTCAGTGATAGCTACATGATAGATAGGACACCGAACCAGAGACCCTCATGGTTACTCTACTTAATGTGTCTATCTAACAAACACTAAAACGTGTAAGAGATAAGAATAGGTAGGTATACAAAAAACAATACTTTTGTCTGAAGTTCAATGTATTGAGTGTCTGTTTGACATTCAAATACACAATTACAGTATGCAGTGGATAAGTGAGCACTAAATATACACAATATACATGAGTGGATGACTCAATAAAAACATGGTAATACCCACTCATGAGAGTGGCTGTGTTAGTAATCACAGAACGACCAACAGCTGTCCTAAGTCTTAACCCTATCAGTCCCGAGACCCCAGCAAAAATCTGCTTTTCATTTATCTGGCTTTCATTTATCTGCATGTCCAGCCCTTATATTTAGCCTCACAATGAAGTGTTTTACCATTTTCTTTTCAGGGCAACCAGGGCTACAAGTAGAACACAATTTGACATAAACAGTTGCATTTATGAGTTTTATTGACAAATGTCAATAAGGAAATAAGGTCCGCAAAGCAAAAACCTGATGAAAATGAATTTATATGAATGCTGTAAGTACAGAAATTGTTTGCTCACTGGGAAATGAATATCCAACTAGTCAGTGACAACTGTGTGGAGTTTGGAGTTTGTGACAGTAACTGTGAGCTTATTACAGTATTATGATCTTTCCTATGATCTTCTATGTAGAAGAACCCCTTACCTTCTAACGACTCTTGTGTGACTTGTGAGCGTCATAGAGCAAAACATGTTATATTTACATTTACATAATTTAGCAGATGCTCTTATCCAGAGCGACTTACAAATTGGTGCATTCAACTTATGATAGCCAGTGGGACAACCACCTTTTTTAAAATAATTTTTTTATGGGGGGTGGGGGAAGAAGGATTACTTTATACTATTCCAGATATTCCTTAAAGAGGTAGGGTTTCAAGTGTCTCCGGAAGGTGGTCAGTGACTCTGCTGTCCTGGCGTCGTGGGGGAGCTTGTTCCACCATTGGGGTGCCAGAGCAGCGAATAGCTTTGACTGGGCTGAGCGGGAACTGTGCTTCCGTAGAGGTAGGGGAGCTAGCAGGCCAGAGGTGGATGAACGTAGTGCCCTCGTTTGGGTGTAGGGTCTGATCAGAGCCTGAAGGTAAGGAGGTGCTGTTCCCCTCACAGCTCCGTAGGCAAGCACCATGGTCTTGTAGTAGATGCGAGCCTCAACTGGAAGCCAGTGGAGTGTGCGGAGGAGCAGGGTGACGTGAGAGAACTTGGGAAGGTTTGAACACCAGACGGGCTGCAGCGTTCTGGATAAATTGTAGGGGTTTAATGGCAGAGGCAGGGAGCCCAGCCAACAGTGAGCTGCAGTAATCCAGACGGGAGATGACAAGTGCCTGGATTAGGACCTGTGCCACTTTCTATGTAAGGTAGGGTCGTACTCTGCAAATGTTGTAGAGCATGAACCTGCAGGATCGGGTCATCGCTTTGATGTTAGCGGAGAATGACAAGGTTTTTTGAGGAGGGGAGCAACTCTCGCTCTCTTGAAGACGGAAGGGACATGGCCAGCGGTCAAGGATGAGTTGATGAGCGAGGTGAGGTAAGGGAGAAGATCTCTGGAAATGGTCTAGAGAAGAGAGGAGGGGATAGGGTCAAGCGGGCAGGTTGTTGGGCGGCCGGCCGTCACAAGTCGCAAGATTTCATCTGGAGAGAGAGGGGAGAAAGAAGTCAAAGCATAGGGTAGGGCAGTGTGAGCAGGACCAGCGATGTCATTTGACTTAATAAATGAGGATTGGATGTCGTCAACCTTCCTTTCAAAATGGTTGACGAAGTCATCCACAGAGAGGGAGGAGGGGGGGGGGGGGGGAGGAGGAGGAGGAGGATTCAGCAGGTAGGAGAAGGTGGCAAAGAGCTTCCTAGGGTTAGAGGCAGAGGCTTGAAATTTAGAGTGGTAGAAAGTGGCTTTAGCAGCAGAAACAGAGGAAGAGAATGTAGAGAGGAGGGAGTGAAAAGATGACAGGTCCGCAGGGAGTCTAGTTTTCCTCCATTTCCGCTCAGCTGCCCGGAGCCCTCTTCTGTGAGCTCGCAATGAGTCGTCAAGCCACGGAACAGGAGGGGAGGACTGAGCCGGCCGGGAGGATAGGGGACATAGAGAGTCAAAGGATGCAGAAAGGGAGGAGAGGAGGGTTGAGGAGGCAGAATCAGGAGATCGGAGGGAGAAGGATTTAGCAGAGGGAAGAGATGATAGGATGGAAGAGGAGAGAGTAGCGGGAGAGAGAGAGCGAAGATTGTGACGGCACATTACCATCTGAGTAGGGGCAGAGTGAGTAGTGTTGGAGGAGAGCGAGAGAGAAAAGGATACAAAGTAGTGGTCGGAGACTTGGAGGGGAGTTGACCTGAGATTAGTAGAAGAACAGCATCTAGTAAAGATGAGGTCAAGCGTATTGCCTGCCTTGTGAGTAGGGGGGGACGGTGAGAGGGTGAGGTCAAAAGAGGAAAGGAGTAGAAAGAAGGAGGCAGAGAGAAATTAGTCAAAGGCAGACGTAGGGAGGTTAAAGTCACCCAGAACTGTGAGGGGTGAGTCATCCTCAGGAAAGGAACTTATCAAGGCGTCAAGCTCATTGATGAACTCTCCAAGGGAACCTGGAGGGCGATAAATGACAAGGATGTTAAGCTTGAATGGGCTAGTGACTGTGACAGCAAGGAATTCAAATGAGGAGATAGACAGATGGGTCAGGGGAAAAAGAGAGAATGTCGACTTGGGAGGGATGAGGATTCCTGTGCTACCGCCGCGCTGACCAGATGCTCTCAGTGTATGCGAGAATACATGGTCAGACGAGGAAAGAGCAGTAGAAGTAGCAGTGTTTTCTGTGCTAATCCATGTTTCCGTCAGCGCCAAGAAGTTGAGGGACTGGAGGGTAGCATAGGCTCAAATGAACTCTGCCTTGTTGGCCGCAGAACGGCAGTTCCAGAGGCTGCCGGAGACCTGGAACTCCACATGGGTCATGCGCGCAGGGACCACCAGATTAGAGTGGCAGCAGCCACGCGGTGTGAAGTGTTTGTATGGCCTGTGCAGAGAGGAGAGAACAGGGATAGACAGAGGCATAGTTGACAGGCTACAGAAAAAGGCTACAATAATGCAAAGGAGATCGGAATGAAATGAACTAAACATCTGGGAAAGCAAGAGAGCGGGGCCTCCCTCACTTACGTTTCACTGAAACACTCAAATATAACTCTCCCAACTTCCACTTTAGAAATTATAATTGTTGTAAA